CTGCTTTACCCGCTCAAGCTTCATAGCTTCCTTCTTCAGCTTTCGATCATTTTCTTTCTGTTCAGCAATCCGTTTTGAAGCCTCAGCAGCCTCCAGGGCCTTTACTTTGACATCCCTCTTGCCTGAGGAAACACAGATAGGTTAGAATCAGACGAATAAGTAATGCAAGAAGGTAAAATGATGCTTTCAAATAATTGGAAATGTCCAAATCTTTATAGCGGATCAAAAAGAAAACAATTACCTGTAATTAGTGCAGGTACTGGCTTTTGCTTCTGCACCAGTGGAACGAACGAAGTCATGTTAGAAACAATATTGTTGTACCTAGGTTCTTTTTCTGGTAACCGCGGCCCTAGAGTTGTCAAACTCGAATTGCAAGACAACTTAGCCTTGCTGAATCTGCTACTAGGCGGTTTAACATTTCTTCCAGCACCTGTTCCACTTTGGTTCTCTTTACCTTTACCAGTGAATCTTCGGCTACGATCATTCTTCCTCCCCAATTTACTTTTGACACTGTTGTTGCACGTAGCAGAAAAGCTGAATGCAGTATTGACAGAATCTAGACTCTGTCTATCAATAGGAATTTTGGCTTTAGAGATAGATGGAAGAAACTTCATAAGGTCTTCATTAACTTCACCAAGAGGTTTCCTTTCAGCAGAGACATTCTCACTTTCGGAATCAGATGCTTCATTGACAGCTTTGGATACCTCATCTATGTTTTCATTCTCCTCAGCTATGCAAGGAAGGTCCGGAACTGAACTTCCTCGCTTCTCTGAAGTCATAGACTTTGGAGTGTTTGTACATAAGTTTTCAGCCTCCTCATCTACGTTCTCGTTCTCTTCGCTAATGCAAGGTAGGTCTGGTGTCTGACTTCCCCGCTTCTCTGAACTGGAAGACTTTTGCAAACTTCTATACCACAACTTCTCAGTTGGAGACTTACGAGGATATCTAGCATCAGCAGATGAGCCAGCACCAGAAAACGGCAGACAGTCAGTGTACGGGCTTCCTGTATAATCATGGTCAATCCCCAAGTTATCAAAGACAGAGCCACTTTCGAGATTTTGGCTGAAAAACATGCCATCAAGCAGGTCAGTTGAAACAGACTGATCCAAGTCCAGTTTTCCATTGAACTTAAATGTTTTAGCCAGATGTACTGATGGAGTGGTCCTGCAAGCAGACTTGCGAATCTGCTCAATCATGTTTGCACTTTCTGTTGTAGTTCTTGGAAGTTGGAAGCAGCCATGTTTTATCTCGTTTTTAGAACTGCTTTGATTTTCATCATCGGTCTGAATTATAAAGCCTTCCATAGAAGGGGGGCTTCCATCGTTTGAGCCTATCAAACCCAAGGGTGATAAACAAGGAGAACAATCTGAATCACGGACAACACAACTAGTTAATGGATGAGAGGTTTCTCCAGGAAATGGAAAAAAGTCCATATTTTCTGGTTCAAATCCCTGATTTGGAGCAATATGACTCCTCTGCACACTGAGTTGTTCTCCTCTGAAGGAAAGCGAGTCAGGAATTATCAATCCAGCTTCCTTGAATATGTAACCCTGTAAATAACCATTCACCCAGTTAATAACACATCATACAGAATAAGAGAAACTAATATGCAAACTAACAGCTTGAGCTGTACTGTAGTTTAATATCTTGGCAGACAATCTGTAGAGTCATAGCAACAAAGACGTGCAAAGAAGAACAGAAATTATCTGAGATAGGATTTCAGATTTTGGCCAATATGTTTTATAGATAATAGCTTTATATACACACATACATCTTGAGAGTGCTTGATACTACAGCACTCACGTCTAGAATGAGATTTTCTCATAATTCACAATAGTACAGTTTTCAGCTTAAGTATTATGGTCTATTTCCATTTAGAGCAAGGAATGAAGATATCATTTAATATATTTTTGAGCGGTAAACCATTATTTTAAGGGAGAACGATACTCTTTAGAAAGACAAAAAATTAAGAAGAATGAGAAATGGAGCACACACCTCTTCCAATTGTAACTCGGCTGGAGATGTTAATCCAATCATCTTTTGTAACTCAACATCATAGTGATCTGAAGATGCAGATCCAATCATCTTTTGTAACTCAACATCATAGTGATCAAGGTTGTGACATGCAGTTTCCTCCCTATGATGGTCTGTTTCCCTGACAGAACCTGAATCGAGAACGTCTCCCTGCGATACATAAAAGCCCATGATTCAAAAAAGCTTTTCAGTTACATTTGGAAGGAAACAGCGGTTCAAGAATATTCACCCCTGGGCTTGACGAAGGCACTCTATTTATTAGTTTTCCCAGTGTTCTTCTCCGCTTATTCTGCAGCTGGGAACCCCCTATGGAGGAACTAGAGCAGAAAATGTTCTGAATAGAGCTCTCTAGACCATGAGATTCACCTGTTTCTGTACATGCTATATTCCTATTAATTGAGGGAAAACCTTTGCCAGAGGATGTTTCACGTTGAGGTCTCTTTGTCAATGCATCTGTGTGACCAGTGAATGTATTTAACTCTGGAGGTTCATTGTCTCTCACTTTTAAGCCACTATGGCTTGCGGGCGATTCTGTTTCTGGTACAGTTTCTTTCTTTAAGCCACTATGATCCTCAATGTCATTCATTTCATCGTCTGCCAAGGGATTTACTTCAGAATCAGTGAGAGATGGAACATCTAACACCCTTGCAGTGGATGCTGGTGTTGGGACCTTCTCCATTGTAGATTCTTCTCGACTATTCATTAGAATCTCACCGAAGTTGCTTTCTCCATTATAATCAAAATGGGGTGATTCAGGCTTCAGAAAAACAGGGAGATCATGGATTCTCAATGATGAGTTTTCTGCTTTACCTTCAAGCTCTTCGTCAGCCGACTGATGATCAGAACTAACAGAAAGAGCCTTATATTCATTAGCTGATTTCTCTTCTTTGGCTGAGCTTCCTGGCCTACTTATCCTTCCATGGCATTGGTTACTCCCCGATTTGGTCAATGAACGCTGTGGCAGCACTTCCTTGGACCCACAACTAATATCACATCTTTTAGTCTGGTCAATCAAGTTTTCTGGGGTACCGCTTTCCTGAAGAATAGATTCAACCACCACTGGCTCAACTACCAAGATGTCAGTTTGGCTTACACTTCTAGATTTTGAAATACTGCTAATTTCAATTGATTCACCATTGATATCTTCCTCCACTAGTAAAGCTTCAATAGTAACAGTAGCAGGCTTCAACAACACACTTTCATCGTCTGATTGCATTACCGAGTGTCTCGACTGCAGTTCAACTGAAGAGGACTCAACAAAGCCCAAAATCTCGGTCTTGGAAATAGGATCTTGGTTTGCATCTGCAAATGTTGTCTCATCTGTGGAGATGCCAGTTTGGCTTACCCTTCCAGCACTTGAACATCTATTAGTGTCAACACATTCACCCTTTTCTTCTGATTGATCGTCGCTGGTAATATTTTCACCTACTAAACCTTCAACATTAATAGTAGAGGGAATCAGTGACACCTTTACATCGCCACCTTGCAGTAATGAAAGGGAATGTCTTGGCTCCACGTCCATTGGAGAAGACTCACCAGAGCCTGAATGCTCGGTCTTGGATTTATTTCCTCGAGCATTACTACTGGATCTTGCATTGATTTCAGACTGGAAGATGCTCGTTCCAGCATCAGTCACCATAGAAACTTCATTAGTGGGAGATATTACCAGGGGTAATTCTACTTCATGATCTACCCTGTGAGACCGATTTGACTTTCTCAACGGAAAGTCACCAGAAAAGTAGTTACTTGACTTTTGATGTTCCTTCTTGCAGCTTTCTTGACTTGAGCTTTTAGATCTTGTACCTCCATCGAGATAAGCTGTTTCATTGCAACTTCTGCTTTGGGGATCATCCACTTGCTCATTGACTTTGGCGGGCACTTCGTCAATTGTATCAAAGGTCTGTAATATATTCATTTCATTCACATGACCAGATTCAAGTAGCGATTTTGGTACAATAGAAGCATAAGGAGAAGTCCGATCATCTACTTGCTCTTCTACTCTGGCAGACACTTGAGCAGTTGTCTCAATGGTCTGTAATATATACATTTCATCCACATGACCAGACTCCAGTAGAGATTCTTGTACAATAGAACCAAAAGCCTCCCCAGTGGAAGATTTTTGCTCTGAATCCACTTTCTGATGTGGGGTAGAAGACTCTGTAGTTGAACTAAGCTTAATACACTGATCCCTTCCTTTACCTTGAGAATTACACTTCTCTAATTCGTCTAGACACCCTTCATCATTCTCATCATGCTTAAATAAATTTATCTCACTAACACTGTCAGACCTTAAAGAAGCAATCTCAAGGCCTATATTTCCACCAGGCGAAGGTTTGAGCTCATTTCTACAGTTTGAACGGCTTTTTGAAGCTTTGGCACTACTACGAAGCTCCATAGCTTTTTGACGTGACCTCGATCTCTGAATCTTAGCAGCTGGTATTCCAGGGTCAAGGCAAGTGCTTGGTTCAGCTTCATCTTGACAATATCCGACAGATGATGGTTTCTGCTTACAACCAGTAGTTGAGACACTTTTAGGAACCATCTTCCCTTGGCTACGTCCAGGAGATGTAACAACAAGACTATTTTCAACTCTCTGATTCTGGGAGTATTCGGGAGACAGGCAACTTTGATTCTCTCTGCAACCGGCTGAGACACTTTCTGGCAGTTCCTCCTTCTCATGGACATCTCTAGGAGATGCAATATTAGCATCCTGCTCGTGATAATGATCTGAAACGCGTCTGACTAAGTTGTGTGAGAGGTCGTGTTGTTGTTCGTTTTCAAGCAACTGCTCTTCTAAAGGGTTATTTACAACAGATGTAAGGTCTTGTCTTGCTACATTGTCAGCTAGAAAACTGACAGGCTGTTGATATGAAAAGGGACGATTGCTAGGACAAATGATCGAAGGTCTTGATTGAGGGAATAGGAGTCCTGAGATAATCTCCTCTTTGCTCAACCCTGTATGCATAAAAAACAAAAATCGAAAATAAGAACCTCGAACAGAAACTCTTCTCTTCAATCGTAATTGAAACAGATATATAAGCAATGTAAGTTAATACTAGTGTTAACGCAATGCTTAAGTCGATAGTTTCAACAAGCTAGCCATTACTCATCCCCACGTAAGAAGTCAGAAAATAATTCTGCAAATTGGTTCTCTTAAAATGAAAGAGCTCTACACTTTGATGAAAATTCAGCACAAATACTTGCTTAGTAAATAAGAACAGCACGAATTCCTAAAACCTATCAAAATAAATTCAACATCATATTATACTTATGAAACCTAACACACCAATTATTATACTTATGAACCCTAACACACCAATTATGCTTATGAACTCTTTATAATTCAACATCAAAGTATGCTAATACGCTCTATAAGCTTTCAATCCGTTTCCCTATTAAGTATCAAACAACTCCGTAAATGCGTTGACGAAAAGAAGGAATCTAAGAATATAGATTCGTAAAACCAAAGATTGCTATTGATTTGCTCCAATTAGCAAAAAAAATCCTCAAAAAATTGACCATGACGGACAATGCTTCGAGAATCAAAAAGAAATTGAGCACAGTGTCAGAAAATTGAGCACTAAATGAGAATTAAGCAGTACCGGAAGTTTGGGAAGGTAGAGTCGGAGACCAGAGCCACGACGGAGGAGAGAGTCCGGCAAGTAGGCACTTGGAGGCTAAGTGCTGGTCAAAGAGATCTACTTGTTGTTTGACCTGCTCGACGATTCGCTTCTTCCTCTCAAAGATCTGCACCAAAAGATTCTCCATATTCACATTCCTCCGATTCTCCCTGCCGGAAAACATCGCCGACGACCTAATCTCGGGATTGAGAGTGGGAGACTATTACCGCGGATTTGAATTTCAAAATTTTGGGGATAAAGATTTGATTTTCCCCTTGATTTTCCCCTTTACAAAAATAACTTTAACGACCATGAAATTAAAAAGGGTCCATTTGT